ACGAGTTCCTTAGACCTGTCTCTTATACACAGCAGTACAAATAGGATTTAGAATACCTGACAACCCAAAAGACGTGAGAAAGGGAGTTCAGAGGACAAAACACCATAGAGCTCTAGAAATTGGCAAGTTCATACGAGTTCCTTAGACAGAGCGGTATAGAAAAGTCGCTAAGCAAACCCTTAGATCACAGCCCCCGACATCGGACCTAGCTGTCAGTTTTATCTGTTCAGAACCCAGCGGAGAGAAGCCAGGAGCTAGGTGACTCAGAGGATCAGAAGGTAGTAGATATAGGCTAACTTAGGCAGGGGTGAGGGGTGGTACATCCTTCCCTACGGAAGTAATCAATGCCGTCCACTCGGGCCTCTCAGCCATAATGGGGAGGAGCGTGCGCGTGTTTTCATTTGTATTCTCATCTGACTTGCCGGGGGAATAGGAACCGGACTGTTGCTCCCCAGAATGGCAGGAGCCAGAACCGAGAGGTTCTGCTTTGGAAAAAAAAAAAGAAAAAAGAAAAAAGAAAAAAAAGAAGAAGAAGATATTGACAGCTTAGGGCCTCTCGTGATTTGTTAGGCCCGCCTTCACTTAGGGCGGGCACATTTGCAACAGAGCACCTTCAGCCTGCCGAGGATACGGAGTCCTCGCATAAAGAAAAAATCCACAAAAAATGAAGAGACACTTCAGGGGTTGTGACAAACAGACGGGGCCATGAAAACGGCCCTATCATTCGTTTTGGTCTCCATTTGTGTACCAGAGGATGTATTTGGCCGGGTTAACTGACAGATTCACTCAGCAGATAACTAGGGCCCATCTTCGTTTTGTGTCACTTGGTCACTACCGTCTTCACCCGCAAATAACGCCCAGGCATTATATTCAACTTGACCTTAAAAAATCAGATTTTTGGTTTTACTCGGTTCTTTTCTAGGAAGATTTTCATGAGCGGCTGGTCATCCGGGCGTGATGCCCGGAGGGGTCTGACAACCGGGATACCCGGGCATCGGAAAAAAAAAAGAAAAAAAAAAAAGGGGTGGTGGCTAGGCTACCAGAGTGGCCCGGAGACACTTGCCCAGCCGGGCCAAAAACAATTATGCAATCAGACTCGTTCTCATTCACACTTTTCATGCATGTAAACAGCAGCGAAGCAAACTGGTGACATGCGCCCACTCAAAACTCAGAGATATGGCTTCCAGATACGAGTTCACTTTCGACTGGCTATGGCGACTCAGCGCCCAAACAACTCACTGTTCACACACACCGGATCACCCTGGATATCCCACATGCGTCACTCTGAACACTCGCATATACACACACACGCTTCACACTAACTACAGCTATGGCAGCTATCGCTGCCTCTACCCTATCGCTATACTAAGCTCCTTCTCTCTAGCCCACTGCGTCCTCCGGGCTCACTGCAGACCTCCTTGCACAAGTCGCTGTGACAGCGCTTCCGCATGGCTCACGCAGGAATGAATGAAAGGCTGGGCGCTGCCTCTTGATTTATACTTCGGAAACTCGTTGGTCTGCCCTTTGCCATCGGCCCATGGTGCTCATAGTCCCCCGTGGTACTTGCTGGACCGGACTGGGACTGACTGGACCTTACCGCTGACTGCCTGTGGACTCACTGCTACGCTACCGTCGTCATACTGCGATTGCACTGCAGTTTAGTCCACCACTTGCCTCGCCACTTGACCACTTGCCCACTTGCCGACCTTCTAGAAGGACTACAGCTAGACTTCTGGAACTTGCTAAGACTTCTAC